TGCTTGCCGCAGAGATACTTCCAGAAAGCCTGCGGGAGCACATGTAACGGCAGAAAGGCAGCCCTGCTTGTCCTGCAGAAACAGCGAGCCTCAGGGAATCCTGCCCGCTGGGAAGGGCTGGGCGCTGCTGCTGGGCCACCCGGCCCTGGGTTCTAGCCCCTCTGCTCCGCAGCGGAGCCCCCTCGGCAGCGTCGCTTAACCTCCAGGAGCCTCAGTTTTCTCTTCTGTGAGTGGGGAGGATGGGTAGTACGTGTAAAGCGCTTGGCCTGGTGCTGGTCCCACAAACCTTAGCTGTCGCCGTTTGCAGCGTGCCGAATGGGGCCCTCAGCAAGAGGTGTGCACACCCTCACCCCAACCCGAGACCGTGACCCTATTTGGATAAGAGGGCTTTGCAGATGTAATTAAGGATCTCAAGATGAGATCAGCCTGGATTATCCAGCTGGGCCCTAAATCCAATGACAAGTGTCCTTTCAGAGACACAGGAAGAAGGAGGAGGAGGCCAGGTGACAAGGCAGAGGGCACCTAGAGCCACCAGAAGCTGGAAGGGGCAAGGAAGGAGCCTTTGCTAGAGCTTTTGGAGGGAGTGTTGACAGCTTGATTTCAGACTCTGGAATCTGGAACATCTGTCGTTTACAGCTGCCAAGCTGGTGGTGACTTGCTGTGACAGCCCTGGGAACTGGCACATGTGTGAGCCTGAGCCCAGTCCAGGGTCTGTCTCTGCCTGTTCTGCCTCTTATCTTCCCTCTGGAAGTTATTAGTCACCAGGCTTGTACCCACTGCCGGTGCAGACAGAGCCAGGAGAACTGCACCAGACCGTGGGTAACAAAGAACCCAGAATGGGTCACCACGAAGGACTGGAGACTCTGGGGTCCGCACGTGGAAGCCAGTATTAGAGATTCATTCTGCTCCGCTGACATTTGTTGGGGCCACTCCCACACGTCAGGCCCTTTGCTTGGCTTGAGACAAGGAGATACAGTAGGAAGAGTCTCTGTCCTCAAGTTGCCCATCATAAGGGTGGGAACTGTGGGAAAAAGAGTCACCAGGGAGGGCAAGGGTGACTGTCGGTGAAGGGAAGTGGAGATGTGGGAGGGCGGACGAGAGGTGGGTCTGTCTGTGAGGCTCGGCAAAGGCTTCCCAAGGAGTCAACCTCTGGCCAGGGTTTTGAAGGATGAGTAGGAGTTTTCTGAAAGACCAAAGGAAGAAAGGGCATTCCAGAGCAGGGAAAAGCAGCATAAACATGGGCACAGAAACAGCCTGGTGCGCACAGGGCAGGAGGAGACAGAGACACAGGCTGCTGGCGGAGGAGCAGCAATGCAGGTGGAGAAATGCAGAACTGTGTGGGTGGGGCCAGGTCCTGGAGGGGCGTATAGGGCCTGTGAGGAGTCCTGGGGTGATGGTGGCACCAGGGTGCTCAACCGGGGCCTCTCACAGGTGTCAGGTGGGGCGGGCCTCTCCCGCTGGGCGTGGGCAGCCCGAGGGGCTGTAAGGGGCCGGAGGATCCAGGGCAGGCTTAATCTGCTTCCTGCCGTGCGTCTCACTTCCTGTTTGATCGACTTCTTTACAGTGGCCAGAAAAGAACATGAAGAACCTGCTTACTAGGGCGGGCCGAGGGGGCAAGCTCACACATTGGCCCCTTCGCTTGTTCCCTCGTTCCCTGTTTGCTAAACACACCGATGCCATATAAGCTCGGCGCCTTTGGCCCCTCGAGGGCCCAGCTACACTGATGGCCGCAGACGGGGGCCCTGCGGGATGAGTCGGGAGGGGAAAGGGCATTCCGGGCAGCAGAACAGCACGTGCAAACGCACTGAGGTGGGGAAAGGGGGATGGGGTAGCTGTGGACAGGGGGCAGGGGGTGCTGGGACTGGTGTCCGAGTGCTGCATTGGGAGAGGCTCCGAGCTGAGGTTGGGAACGCAGACAGCTCCTGCGGGAAAGGTCTGTGTGCCAGGCAGCGACAGTCTGGAATCGTCTCCTGCACGGCAGGAGAGGGTGCTGATGCAGAGATGGGCCCGACTTCTGCCCTTTGTTGCTGTGACCTGAAGTTCCCAGCCATGGAGAAGGTCGTGCCTTAGGGACTGGAGTGGAGCCGCATCTTTCTCCCGGCCCAGGGGAACACAGGACGTGGGACAGGGCAGGGCACAGCTCAGGCTAAGATCTGCCCCAGCCTCTCCCCCGGCTCCCAGAGAGGCCAGGCTGAAGTGGCTTTGTAGGCACCCAGCCCGGCCCACCCTTCCGGTCAGAAGGCCCGAGGCCTGGGCCACTGTGTCTCCCTTCAACCCAGGACCCCTCCAGGGAGGCCCAGCCCACGGACGTCCCTCCCCCAGCGTCACTGCAGACAACAGCCAGAAATAATAATAGCGGCAACTGGTGCCCATGTCCTCACTCTGTGCCAGGCCCTGAGCTGAGCACTTGGCTTATTATGCCCTGTGGTCCTCACAGTGGAGGCAAGAACACAGGCTGAGAGGGCAGGCGCCCCTGCAGCCCAGGACGGCCACAGCAGCTCCCTGCCGCACGCGCGCCAGACCCGAGGACCCTCGTTCTCATTCCCGAGCTTCGGTCCTCGGCGTGCCCCTGGCCCGGCAGCACTGGTGTCCCCAGGGAACTTGGCAGAAATGCCAATTCTAAGGCTCCACCCCGACCTGCTGCATCCCCTTGGGGCGGGGCCCAGCGATCTGGTTTCGAAATCCTTGCAGGTGATTCCGACCACACCCAAGCTGAAAATCGCTGTCTATGCCGCATTCGGCTCTCAGGGAAGGCCTGGTCACCGTCCTTTGGACTCTAAACTCGGCTCTGTGAGGACCCACCTGACAGTCTTGGTGTCCTCCTGCTCCCCAGCACCGGCCTGACACCTCGGACTCCTCCACGCAGGTGCCAGACTCGGCCGCAGGTGTCACCTGCTGAATTGGAGACTCCCATCCTCCGCTCCCCACCAGCGAGCCCCCCCCAGGGCCCCCACTGCTCTCGTCCACTCCGAGACTCTTCCTCTCAGGGTGCCCAGCGTGGGCTCCTGAAACGCCAGGGCAGGAGGCATAAGCCGGCATCCTGCCCACCCAGCTTCCTGCCTCCACCATCCTCCGCCATGGAGGCTGAGGGACATGGAGGCTGAGGGACATGGAGGCTGAGGGGCATGGAGGCTGAGGGACATAGAGGCTGAGGGACATGGAAGCTGAGGGGCATGGAGGCTGAGGGACATGGAGGCTGAGGGGCATGGAGGCTGAGGGGCATGGAGGCTGAGGGACATGGAGGCTGAGGGGCATGGAGGCTGAGGGGCATGGAGGCTGAGGGGCATGGAGGCTGAGGGGCATGGAGGCTGAGGGGCATGGAGGCTGAGGGACGGGACACGGGGCTCTCCGAGGACGTGCAGGAAGGCCGTTTCCACCGTGGGAGTTCAGCTAAGGAGCCAAAGACAAGTGTCACCGCCTCTTTCTTCAGAAAATGCCTTAGGGCCTTGCTCATCTGGAGCACATTTTTGTTTTTGTTTTTTTTTGTAATGTTAGTAAAACATAGTAACTTTTTTTTTTTGTTAGTGTTGAGTTCTCCTCGAGGAGGGCTGGGAAAGGAGCCATGACAGGATTAGAAACAAGGGTTGAGAGGGATCAGAGGAGTAAAGGTTTTAGCTGGAAAAGAAGCACCGTAGCAGGCGTGCCGTGAAAGGTTGTGCAGGATGTTCACTGATCAAGGCTGCTGGTGGAGGGGGCAAGGGAGGGCCGGGATCCAGGGACAGGACTGTGCCCTATCTAGGGCCTGACTCCCAGAGTGCTAGGATTACAGGCGTGAGCCACTGTGCCCGGCTAGGAGTACCTTTTAAAATTTGTATTTTATTGCTGCGAAGTTACTTACCTACAGTCACATAGCTAGGGAGTGGCAGTGCCAAAACCAAACAGTGGCAGTCTGGCCCCACAGCCCCTGGGCTTAACCACTGCACCACACTGCCTGCATGGTCTTGTCCCCGGGCTAGCCGGTTGGGCACAGGTGCTGGGCAGGGATGAGAGTGCTCTCCCCAAGGTGGAATGCAAACATCTGCCTGTTTTCTCGGGAGGGCTGCAGGCACATGTCTTTGAAACTCCGAGCCCTCCTGATGTAGAGGAAAGGAGACATTTTCCCATTGCTAATGATTGGGATTGGGCTTTGTATGAAGCTGAGGTCTAAATGGAAGGTTCTTGTAGAGTCAATCCCATGGGAGGTATCCTTGCCCCATATGGGGGTATTGAGGTCTTAGCATGTTTTAATGAGTGTCTACTAGGTGCTGAGATGCTGAGGTTGAAGGAAAGTGCTCTGGTGCCAGGAACCTTTGTCAGCAAGGGAGAATAAGGACTTGGGGGACAATAAAAGGCAGACTTACATGCTCCCATCTTCTCTTATCCTCGGCCTCTCCCCAGAGGGGAGAGAAGCTGATTTTCATAGGCACTTACTGTGCGCTTTGTATAACCTACCTCATTTGACCCTCGCCACAGCCTGTGAGCAGACCTCATCGCTCCTGTTCGCAGGTGACAACACTGGGGCTCAGCAAATGGAAGTGACCGGCCCCCAGCCCACATTCCTCCCCCTGCCCCCCCTGCTTTCCTGGCTGGGGAGCCCCCAGGGTCCCTCTTGGACAGGCCCCCTCGCTGCCGGGGACCTCAGAAGAGCTGGAGGGGTTTATTCTCCAAGGATTATGGTGTCAGGGGAGGGCAGCCCAGGGAGAGTGGACAGATGGACAAGGCGCCCTCCTCGTCATGCACTTACCCTACACACTGGTCACTCTCAAAAGCACAGCCCCAGGCACCCCGGGCTCCCACTGTCTCGCACACACCGATTCCCCCACGTGCGCTTGCTCTGCGCTGGAGCCTTCTGCTGGCTCCTTCGTGCAGGGGGCGGAGCCGGGCTGCCAGCATCGATGGAGACTGATGATACTGGAACACCGAGTGGCAACTCACTCTAGCTGTCCCCGCCTCCCCCCACCCCACCCCTAAAAACACACACACTCCAGGGCTGACGGCTATTTCCTCCCTCTCCTCCACTCCCCTGCCTCCTCCTGCCTGGGGCTCTTATCTAGCTGCTGCCAGAGCTGACCTCCTCCAGGGCTGGAATCCTGTGTTTTCGGCGTGCCCAGGTAAGGATGCCATGGCCCAGGGACTGGGCAGCCTTCGTGTCCTCTCTGGACCTACAGAAGGTCCAGTAGGACCAGGCGAGAGGGCTGCTACTAGCTAGGATGGCAGAGGGTTGAGTGTACCAAGGACTGGAGGGCACTTGATGCTCAGAAAAGGGCAGGACTAAATGAAACGTCCTCGGGCATTGACCAGATGCCAGGCACAGCTGCAAAGCATTCATACACCTTGTTCCATATTCACAAGATTATACCAGCAGGCTTAGGGTGGTCGACCCAAGTCCACTCAGACAGGAAGCCGAGGAGCTGGGATTCAAACCCAGGTCTAGGAGCCCCACAGCTTGCATTCTCTGTCCCCCAGCCCCCTGCCAAAGCAGGACCCTAGCTGCTGGGCTCCCCGAGAATCCTGGGAGGCGGGGGCTGTCCCCATGCAGTCAGAGGGACTGATCTGGTTTCCAAGGGTGGAGCAGGACTGTGCTCTCTGAGGTCTCTATGGGACTTGGACAAGCGGCAGCTGGACTGAAGGGAATGTTTCAGAGCAGTGTGGAGATGGCACTTGGCCGTCTGCTGGGAGTGGCCTCTGAGCCCCACCGCTGCAGCTGGGGAACGTTGGGCAAGTTGCTGTGCTTCTCTAAACCTCAGTTTCCTCTTCTGAAAAATGGGGGTCTCGTAGGCTTACTGCAAATGTAATTGCTTGCTCTGCAAACTCTAAGCCTAGGAAGTATGGCCATTCTCAGCGGCACAGGCTCCTCTTCCACCTCCATGTGGATCCCTTGCTCCAAGGGGCTCATCTGCCAGCGAAATTCTAGTTTGATATCCCAGGACCCCACCCCAAAAAGGCCAAGATCCCTGGAAGGGAGTGGCTTTTCTCATCCTGGCCAACAGTGTTTCCCTTGGAAAGACGAGTACTGAAGACCATTGCTCCCCCTTCCTCTCTTCTTCCTCCTCCCTCTCTCGTGCTCGGGGCAGAGGCAGAGGGAAGGGCTCAGGCTGGGCACGGAACTGCTGCTCCTCCATGTTTGTGTCATTTGGGTGCTCGGAACCAACTCTTTAAACAGGGAGGCTCAGTTTCCTCATCTGTAAAATGGGCTGGAGAGGAGTATAGCACCTTTCTTCTAAGTGACAGACCTGCCACTGTACCCGCCTGTTGTGGGGGCCCAGGACAACCTGAGTCCCCACCCCTGCTGCCTGCCCCCAGCCCCTGCAGGGAGGCTCCTGCCCCAGCTTCCTCAGCCCTCGTGGATCTCGACCAGCCTCACAGCAGATGGCCCCTGGGTTTCTGACGAGGCTGGGTGTGTGCACGTCTGCGGGGCTGCCTGTCTGCCAGAGCCTGGCTCCCCCGGCACTTACCTGAGTTGTTGCCCAACAAATACTGGTTGAACGAGAGTGTGAGTGAATAAGTGAGTGAACAAGGGTAGGATTCCTGGCGCGGGCAGTGCCGCGTGGCTGCCCCCGGGAGGGGAGAGATCTTTTGGCCCCAGTGGGCCCCCATCTGGGAGTTCCTCCTGCCAGCTCTTATCTTATTTCCTCTCCGGCTATCAGAGGAGGGCCTGGCTCCAGTGTTTGAGGTCACACACTTTCCCAGCCACCACTGTGGGAGCCAAGGGTCGCAGGGAGGATCTGCTGAGCAGCAAGGTGTGGGGGGGGTGTCGGGTGGGAAGGGGAAGCATAGACTCCCCTCCCAGCCTCACCCCCCCAGGCCAGCAGAATCCTCCTGCCCTATAGTGGGGCCACGTTCAGGCCCCAGTGCTCTGGGGATTGGGAAAAGGGGTCCTGCGTGGCCCGTCCTTGTTCCCATTTTCCATGTGATCTTAGACCACTTGCTTCATGATCATCACAATGACATTGATTCAGCGCTTGCCCTGTTCTAAAGGCTTTCACATATTGACTCATTTAGTTCTCCCAGTAGCTCTCTGAGCTAGGTACGGTTATGACCGACACCCACGTTACAGAAGAGGAAACAGGCTCAGAAAGGTTAAATGACTCGCCCAGGGTTGCACAGCGAGCATATGGGGGAGCTGGGATGTTATCCCCCCACTTCACCACCTTTGGGCAACCTCACTGACACCCAGCAGCAGCTCTGCCACATTCATGGGTCATACCCGACTCTCCTGGCCAGGCTCCTGCTCCAGGCTTCTCTCTGGGTTCCCCTGTGGCCCTGCACTGCTAACCTCAGCACCTCCTCCCCCACCGCAGAGCCCCGGTGGCCGGCCGCGATGTCAGCCAACGCCTCGCTGAAGCCGCTCTGCCCCATCCTGGAGCAGATGAGCCGCCTGCAGAGCCACAGCAACTCCAGCATCCGCTACATCGACCACGTGGCGGTGCTGCTGCACGGGCTGGCCGGGCTGCTGGGCATGGTGGAGAACGGCCTCATCCTCTTCGTGGTGGGCTGCCGCATGCGCCAGACCGTGGTCACCACCTGGGTGCTGCACCTGGCGCTGTCGGACCTGCTGGCCGCTGCCTCCCTGCCCTTCTTCACCTACTTCCTGGCCGTGGGCCACTCGTGGGAGCTGGGCACCACCTTCTGCAAGCTGCACTCCTCCATCTTCTTCCTCAACATGTTCGCCAGCGGCTTCCTGCTCAGCGCCATCAGCCTGGACCGCTGTCTGCAGGTGGTGCGGCCGGTGTGGGCGCAGAATCACCGCACGGTGGCCGCGGCCCACAAGGTCTGCCTGGTGCTCTGGGCGCTGGCTGTGCTCAACACCGTGCCCTACTTTGTGTTCCGGGACACCATCCCGCGGCTGGACGGGCGCATCATGTGCTACTACAACGTGCTGCTCCTGAACCCCGGGCCAGACCGCAACGCCACGTGCAACTCGCGCCAGGCGGCCCTGGCCGTCAGCAAGTTCCTGCTGGCCTTCCTGCTGCCGCTGGCCATCATCGCCTCGAGCCACGTGGCCGTGAGCCTACAGCTGCGCCTCCGCGGCAGCCGGCGCCCGGGCCGCTTCGTGCGCCTGGTGGCGGCCGTGGTGGTGGCCTTCGCGCTCTGCTGGGGGCCCTACCACGTGTTCAGCCTGCTGGAGGCGCGGGCGCACTCCAAAGCGGCCCTGGGGCCGCTCGTGTGGCGCGGGCTGCCCTTCGTCACCAGCCTGGCCTTCTTCAACAGCGTGGCCAACCCGCTGCTCTACGTGCTCACCTGCCCCGACATGCTGCGCAAGCTGCGGCGCTCGCTGCGCACCGTGCTCGAGAGCGTGCTGGTGGACGACAGCGAGCTGGGCGGCGCGGGCAGCAGCAGCCGCCGCCGCCGCCGCGCCTCGTCCTCCTCCGTGTCGCCAGGCCGCCGCCAGGACTCGCTGCGTCCCCCGCGCCTCCTGCGCTGGCTGCGGGGCGCACACGCCGCGCCCCCGCACACGGGCCGGGCCCCATCCCAGGACGAGAGGGGACCCCTGAGCCGGGAGCACAGCACCACCTAGGGGTAGGAGGCGCCGGTCGGGGTCCCGAAAGCACTGCGAGGGCCCCATCATGACATTGTTGACGCGGACTCCACCCTGTCACTGGCCCAGGGGCAGGACCCAGGCATCTGCATTTTAAAGCACCGGGGTGACTCAGTGGATCTTTTTCAGAAACAAAGCGAGTTAAGGCAGCCCTTCCCAAACTGTGATGTGTCTGAGTCCCCAGGCAGCTCCTTAAAGTGCAGTCTGACTCGGGATTCTGCACTTCCAACAAGCTCCCAGGCCTGGCCTCGGTGCTGCTGGAACCACGCGTGGAGTAACAAAAGGGAAAACCTTTAGACTTCTCAAATCAGGGCACCCTGGGCCAATCTCCCTGCAGCTCAATTCTACCAACCAGTGGTGTACTTTAGGAGAAGAGGGAGCAGAAAGGTTTGAGGAGCCCTGTTCCAGTGTAATTTCTCTGCTTTAGCCATTTAACCAATGCTTATCGTACTAGACACTTTATCCCACAATCTTTATTTTCTTTGAGACAGAGTCTCACTCTGTTGCCCAGGCTAGAGTACTGTGGCATCATCATAGCTCACAGCAACCTCAAACTCCTGGGCTCAAGCGATCCTCCTGCATCAGCCTCTCAAGCAGCTGGGACTACAGGCACGTGCCACCATGCCTGGCTAATTTTTTTCTATATATTTTTAGTTGGCCAATTAATTTCTATCTTTAGTAGAGATGGGGTCTCGCTCTTGCTCAGGCTGGTTTCAAACTCCTGACCTTGAGCGGTCCTCCCGCCTTGGGCTTCCAGACTGCTAGCATTACAGGTGAGCCACCGCGCCCGGCCTACCCTACAATCTTAAGGCAGCTTCTGCTAGCTGATCTTTACAGATGAGCACACTCAGGCTCAGGGAGCGTAAGTAACTTGCCTAAAGTTTCAGGCCTAGTGACATCAGCATCTGCACCCTAACCTGAAGCACCGATTACTATCTGACAAGTGAAAGAATGTCCTTTGACCCACCGAAGATACATCAGATAATAGCTCTGTGGAGCTCCTATCTCAACCCTCGCGACCCAGCATTGCCGGAAATGTTTACGAGGCAGAGAAAGCACGTGTTATGGTTAAGTGTTTGGGAAACCTGGAGCTGATCAGTCTAATGGGCATCATTACTGAAGGTCTTCTCAGTCTTTAGATGAATGTACCTGGCAGCAGGCCTGGGGTTCTGTGGGACCCCTCTGGACACTGGTAACCCCGACATCTTTGCAGCACCCACCTCCTGACTGCAGAGGGATGGGGAACTGCCACTTCCCATTTGCAGCTGGGAGGGGTGACTTGTATCTCTGTCCTGGCACTTACACCGCACTGTGTCTATTTTCTCCACCAGCAACGGACGTGGGGGCAGAGACTGCTGTTTCAGCTCTGCATCCCAGCGGCTGACCGAGTTGAGTGAACACTTGCTTGCTGGCTGAAACATCAGCGGGAGAGCCAGGATGAGAAACTCTTGGGATCTTGGTCCCCTGCCCCCGGTGCCACTGAAGGCTGGGCTGGCCACTCACCATTTCTTTCCAGTGGAGGTGGGGCCCAACCCCCAGCAGGCGTTCAGCAAACTGAACAGCGACATGCACAGCTGGCTGAATCGCCACCCTGTCTTGACGCCTTGCCCCACTTCCCTCATAGCACTCTCCTAGCAGACGGACGCACAGTGTTCTACTTGTTTATTATGTTCTCCCCATCAGAATGAAAGCCATGGAGGGCAGGGGCTTTTGTCTGTTTCCCTAGTGCTTAGAATTGTGCCTGTACACGAGAGGCATTCCATAAATATTTGTTGTAGACTGGCTGAGCATGACTTAGGTCTTTGGGGCTTCTGCAGAAGCTGGTTTGGAAAAGGGGGAGCTAGAGAGAAACCCCGCTCCTCGCAGCAACCTCCCTATTTGAATCCTTCTGTGTTGAAAGTGGGGAGGCACTGGATTCGGTCTGCTGGGTGACAGGGTCAGTGGGGCTCAGAGGTAGCCGCAGCAGCTTCGGAAAGTGTGCAGGGAGTGGATTCCTGACTGCTGGCCGCCAGGCCTGGTGGGAGGAGTCACTCTCCATCACCAGCTCACTGAGGAACCAGAGAATTTACTGTTCTTGGACGGAAGGCACTTAGAGAAGGAGGGAGGGGGGTTGAACCTCTTCCCTCGCCCATCTCTGCCAGGTCCCAGGTTCCTCTTGGGGCCTCTGTCCACAAGCCTTCAAAGGCGTAGGAGCCCTGGCTGGGGTAAGGTCCCTGTTTTAGAGCCAGGGAGTTGGACAGCCAGCTCCAGAAGAGGCGTCTGACCAGTGGGCGAGAGTGCTGTGTCTGACACGGGTTTTGGCCATGGCAGGCGTCTTGAGCTCAGATCTTGGCTGTGGGCCGCTGGGGCGGCTGCTTCTGCAGCAGGGCCAGGGTGTCCCGCTTCTCAATGGAGCGCAGCTGCTTCTTCTTCGCCCGCTTGAGCTTGGCGGGGTTTCGGATCTGGGGGTGGCATGGGGGGAGGGCATTAGTGTGGCTGCAGCCTTTGTCCCTGCTCCCTGGGGAGAGAAAGGCCACCCCAAGGGGCCTGGATCGCAGCATGAGAGCAGGCACGTGAGGCCAGGGGCCGAGGCTGTGGTTCGCACCCCTAAGTGTGGCAGGGGGTTGGGGGAAGACGGGACACTCACCACTTGGACAATCTCTGCCTTCCGCTCGTTCTCCAGGCGGCGTTTCAGGTTCTCAGCTCTGCGCTGTTTCTTCTCCTGGAACACAGACGGGATTTGAGTCTGGGAGCTGAGGCAGCCCTGTCTCCCAGGCCCGAGAGGAGCGAGGGCTGGCAGAATTCCCAGGAGGAAGGGGAAAGGCCCTCCTGCCCAGGCTCTGGGCTGTGCCTGGTAGTGCTGGTGGAGGGCCTGGGACCCTCTGCGCAGGCCAGTGAGAGCAATCCTGTGCCCTCGGGCCCAGTGCCCAGAGGCCGACTGTGGTGGAAAGTTCCTTGCTGCACATTGGAAGGCGGGTGCTCGGACAGGCAGCTGAGGACGGAGGCTTAGACAGGAGGCCTGTGCGGGCCCCACGTACCACCCTCCTGCCATGGGAGAAGGGGTGGGCTGGCCCCTCCCTTATTTCCACCTTCCTGGAGTCTCCCTGTCTCCCCAGAATCCCTGATGCGCTAGAGTGCAGGGCGGGTGAGGGCTGGAACCTGAGATTCACCCAGGTGCAGGGCTGAGCTGCAGGGAAGCGGCTCTGGGGTTATCTGGCCTGGGTTCAAATCTTGACTCTGCTACTTTCTAAATAGTTGACTTCGGCTAAGTTTCTGTGCTTCAACTTCCCCATTTTTAGAGTGAAGATAACCATAGTATCGACACCTTGCAAGACTGTTCTGAGGAATAAAGAGTGATATGCGTGCAGGGCTTGGAACAGCACCCAGCTCTTTGGGAACAGTCTGTTGCGGGAATGGGAAGCCCGGTGGCCACTCTGACTGTCTCCTGGCAGGGCCAGGGCGAGGACGTGGGCTCCAAGACTGCTGCATGCTCAGAGGCTTTGGCAACTTGGGGTAGCAGGGGTAGCCTGGCCTCTGGGGACAAAGGAGAAGTGAGACTTGGGCTCCTGCGGTCAGAAGGGGGTCTGGGCATCTCTCCAAGGGATGGTGAGAAGTGAGAAGGCAGCTCTGTCTTGCCCAAGAGGGTCCTAGGGCCACACAGGAAGTAGGTAAGGCTTTATCATATGGTGGCAGGCACACCGTCCCTAGGGGCTCAGCTATAGGTGACTTAGAACAAGGGATAGATGATGGAGTTCCTAAGCTGGGACTCTGGTGCACTGTTCCTCCACCCCTGGGGTCGCTAGTCCAGCAACATCCCACTGATTACCCTGGTCCTGGGGGCTGTCGCTGACCAACGCCCTCATCTTGCTTTCTCTGTGGGCTGCCTGCTGAGCACCCTGCTCCCTCCCACCGAAGGGAGTCCCTGCTGCAAGGGGTGGAGCTGTGACCCTTTACAGGGGCTTCCTGGACACTAGAGACAGTGGGTATGAACCTCTCATGGGGCATTTCTGGCTCTGGGATGGGTGGCGGAAAGGAAGTGGAGGAAAGGTGTGGGGGCTGCTTCTTGGAGAATGACAGCAACAATACTGGGGACAAGGTTTTCCAATCTGTAAGCCTTGTCCACCTCAGCAGGTCCCAGGGCAGGGACCCCGACCGCATCTTATAGAATGCGCAGTGGGGGCTTCTTCTTAGCCTCCAGCCTCTTACAGAGGCCCAGGCTAAACCGGATGGTCCCCTGGGCTTCCCAGTCGGTGGTCCCAAGCTGTACTTCTGCTTCCGGCCAGGCTCCCTTCCTCCCTGGGGCCCTCAGGCTCCAGACCTTCTCTTGACCAAGTCAGCCCCCCCGGGCACCCATGCAAGCTCCCCTCATCCAAGTCTCCACCTTGGTCTGGCTGGCCCCTCACCTGCCGGCGTCTCTCCTTCTCCTCCTCCAAGTGCCGGGCGAAGTCCTTGGCTAGCTTCTTCTCTTGCCGTTCCTTCATCTTCCGCTGCCAGGATGTGCGCAGGGGCTTGTCCTGAACCATCTGGGAGAACCTGGCCAGGGAAAGGGGGTGCTTGCAGAGGCTGTGGGGTGCTGCCCGCTCTGTCCCCCCTCGGCTCCAGGCTCTGGACCTTCTTCCTGAGCCCAGCCAGAATTGCCACCCTACTCACCTGGCAGGCAGCCCCCCAGGTCTGCAGACACTCGGGGCAGGAAAAGATCGTGATTGTGCTGGCTGCCACTCCTCAAGCCCTGCTACATGTCCCTGAAACGAGTATTCTGGTTCTCTCCACTTTACAGGGGAGCAAACCAAGGCACAGACAGGCTGAACACCTGCTCAAGGTCACCTTGTGCCTGAGTGGAAGTCAGGAGTTGAGCTGTTGTGACGAGTCCAGGCCATACAACCTCTGCTGGAAAGTTCTGTGGCTTCCACCAAGCACAGTCGGCCTGGGTGTGACTGCCCCTGGAGATGGGACGCTCATGCCCTATGGAGGTGGCCTGTTCCATCTCACCATGGCCTGAGTGGCTGGGGCTCTGTGTCATGGCTCAGAATCTCTCCCCATAGCTGGGGAGAAATGAATGTGGAATGGGCATTCAGGGCTATCAGGGAGGTCTGGAGTTTCTGAAAAGTGATAATGATTTTAGAGTCATGGGAGAAATGTGAGAACGTAGAGATTTGTGGGTGGGATGATGTGTCTAGGATGTGCTTTAAAATATTCCAGGGTGAAAAAAGAGAAGACATGTTGAGGACCAAAGATAAAGCTGGATCAGTAAAATGCTGAGCAGTGTTGAAGCTGTGATGGGAACACGGGGGTTCATGAAGCTCTGCTCTTTTCTGTATGCTTGAAAACTTCCTTAATAAAAAGTAATAGCAAAATGAAAACAAGTCTCCTGGTGGCCGCCACATACTGCACTTAGGTCTTCTTCCTTTAATGATGCAAGGCCTGTTTGGGGTCCCACGGCCCTGCTGCCCTCTGACCCCAGCGTCCCTTCCTCCAAGGGCCTCCCGCTGAAGATGCGATCCCCTAAACACTAAGAACAGGACTGCTGCATGGACTTCCTCCTTAGCCTTATAGCTGGGCTCCCCAAATTGGGGTATGAGAACCCTGAAGGGACAAGGTGGTGGAGCCTGGAGACACACAGAGCCACAGGACACGATGACACGCCTTTCTAGAGCAGGGCTATCGCACAGAACTTTCTGAGATGGTGGAAATGCTCTATATTGGCACTGTCCAGTAAGGTACCCACCAGTCACAGGTGGCTGTTGAATGTTTGAAATGTGGTTGGGGTTGACAGAGAAATAGATTTAATTTTAATTACACTTACACAGCCACATGTGGCTGATGGCTTGGGTACCGAGGCAATTCCAGGGCATCGGTTCTGCTTGGGGATTGAAGACAGGCCCGGGCTCCCAGTCCCGAACACACCAGACTACCCGGGCGACCTTGGGCAAGGGAGCCTCTAAGTCTCAGCCCCCTCCTGCATGGGGATGAGAATCATTCCTGTCCCAAAGGGTGCTGGAGGATTCATTGACACATGCACACAACAGGTATGCAATAAATGCAAATCCTCAGAGCAGAGCGAGCAGGGAGATGGCACATCCGATGGAAGTGGCATTTGGCATGAGCCAGGCAGGGGGGCTGCAGCAGGTCTCCCCCACCCTCATGCCGTCCCAGTGCCGCTGCCTCCTTCCCTGCTGCGGGCGCTGCCTGCACCTGTCTCTAGACATCACCTCCTGCAGCTGCTTCCTCAAAGATCCCAACTGTCCCCTGAGTGGCCTGCTGGGCCCTGACCCGCAAGACCTGCCTGACGCTTCTGAAGCCCTTTCAATTCCCTTGCACCAGCGTCCTCACTGGTCCCGTCTTCACCCCTGCCCACCTATGTCTGTACTCAGCTGGCCAGACTGATCTTCTCGAAAGCTGTGCCATGTCATTCCTTTGCTCAGCAACCTCCAGGGCTCCTGAGCTCACTCAGGAAAGCCAGAGTCCCTGCAAAGGCCACAAGGCCCCCTGCCCCTCTGACCTGACTCCTTGCTGCTCCCTGATTCCAGCAACGAGATCCCTGGACCGTCTCTCAAACAGGAGCATGCTCCTGCCTCAGGGCCTCTCAACTTTCTGTCCCTCTTGCCTGTTACTCTCTCCCCAGCCAGATGTCTGCCTTGGTTCCCTCTGTTGCTCCATTCAGGCCTCTGCTCTATGCCCCTTTATCCGCCAGGCCATCTCTGACCACAGCAGCAACGTCCTGCCCACTCTGCTCTTCCCAGGTCTCCTTCCTAGTTTATTTGTCTTTGAAGCTCTTATTACTGACATAGTATATATTTACTTGTTTTTTATCTGTTTCCCATAACTAGAATGTTTGCTTCAGGAAAGCAGGGACTTTGTTTTGTTTACAGCCATGCTTACCCAGAGCATTATGAATTGCTTGAACGAGTGCTGGGTTCTAGGGGGTCTATGGACAGTCTGATTTAGAGAGGAAGACAAGCAGCCAACAAGAATCACCCAAGTATTTGTAAGTAAGCATTTGTGCAAATGGAGATGTTACGAAAGAGAATACACAGTACAATGGTAACATATAGCTTGGGGACTTATCCCCCAACTGGACTGGATAAAGAGGAGCTTTTTAGAGGGGGTTACATTGAAGCTGAGCTCTGAGGGATGAGCAGGGATGGGCCAGGGGAAGAGGCTTTTGAACAGAGGGAATAGCATGTGCCAAGGCCCTGAGGTAGGAGGGAGCATCACACACTGGAGGAGTGTGGAGAGGAGGTTGGTGTGGAAGACTCTAGTGAGGGATGGGGAGAGGAGGGTGGCCCTCTTTAAGGAGTTTGGAGTGCATGCTCCAAGGAGCAGGAAGTCAGGAAGAGCTTTCAGTTAGGGCAGGGAGCTGGGACCAAATGTCCTCCCTTCCCATTTCTTGCTACCCTGCTCCAGCCGCTGATCCTCAGTTTCTTGTGCTGATCCCTGTGCATGGGCCCAGCCCCTTCTTGCTCAACAGGCTAACCCTCCCCCTACCCACCAGAGTACCAGGACCCCAGGCTCTGCCCACTCAGCTTGCTCAGCACCCTCTTCCCATATGAACCAACCTCTTCATCTGGTTCCACCTGGCCATCAGTGGCCGCACCATTCTCCTATGACTGGCTGAGACAGGGTGGATGGCAGTGCCATTAGGCACTTCTCCAACTTTTATAGTCACTCCAGCTTCAAAGTCTCTCTCTGATTAGTGACTTGCAGCAAATTACTCTCTAAAACTCAGTTTCTTCTTTGTTTAATGCGGGGGGGGGGGAATAATACCCACTGCCTAGGGTTTTAAGAGTACAGAAAAATGACATCAGCACAGAACCTGGCACAAAGCTTGGCAAACTCTACCCTTAGTAAATGTCAGCTTCTTCCTTAAAAACACCCTCCTTCCCACAGGTCCTCCACAGCCAGGCATTCCCGCTTCTGCCCCGTGGTTCCCATTAGCTCAAATGTGAACTGAACCCCACCTCTCCTTCCTGGCAGCCTGAGCCCTAAGCCTCTTCGCTCCTCCTTTCCACAAACACTTATTATGCACTTAGCACAGAAACACAAGGAAGACCTCGGGCCTGCCCTTAAGAAGGTTGCAATCCAATTCAAGGTGAATCCACAGGGAGCAGGTAAAGGGATTTCCTGCATAGGCTTTGATAGACTGCATACACTCACACATGTGCTCCAGTCCTGCATATTCCACTAAGCCTCAGTTTCCTTATATATAAAATAGTGTGGGAATAATAACGCCTGCTTCATAAGGTTGCTGTGCTAATACTTGCTCTTCTGTCTTTGAAAGGCTCTTCCGCCGGCCAATCCTTATTAAAGGGCTTAGCACAATGTCCTATATAATCAGCACTCAGATAATAGTGGGTGAAGACCTAACTGCTTTTATCAAATACTGGCTGGTTTACTTGCTTCTGCCTCCTTTACTAGAGAGGGCAGACAATGGAAATGTCACTTGAATGAATACACAAGGGAGGTGCTATAGGAGAGGTCCACAGGGGCCCTGAGGAGGAACAGCATCACAGACATGATCCTTGAGGGCCTAGCCTCACGTCTCACCCTCCCCGGGATCCAGGGCATTTTACCACTTTCTGATTATAATTACCTGTTTGCTGACCTCCCCCTCCCCCACTAATGTGAGCTCTCTCCAACCCTGGCGCTGTCTGTCTACAGCCTGAAGCAGGGCAAAGGTGGGGGGCCCCAACACCATAGAAAGCCCCACCCCTACCCATGCTGTCTCCCACTTTACCTTTTCTTGGAACGGTCCTTCCATACCCGCCCCGATTTGGGCTTCCCTTTCGGGATTACAGGAAGCTCCTCCTTCTCCTCCTTCAACTTCTTGCACACTGGGTCCTGGGCTGAAGAACTTTTTCGCTTCTTCTCCCCGAGGCCGCCTGTCACCGTCTCACCTACCGGAGGTGGCTTGCTTGGCTCGTGCTGACCCTGTGGGGAGCCTGGTGCTTCAGGTGTCAGCTCCTGTAGTGGCCTCGAGGGCTCCGGACCCGGTGCTTGCTGACCTGGATAAGGCTCTGGTGATCCTGGGCCTGGCTGCAGCTGATTTTGCGGGGCTTCCGGGCTCGGCTCCTCCTTACTCTGGGCCAAGTCCGAGGCCAGTTCTCCCAGGCCCTGAGAGAATTTTGGTGACTCCTCATTTGGCGTTGCCTGACGTCGGGGGGATTCGGGATTCGCCTCTGGCTGTCTTTGGAGCGATTCCAGGCCCAGATCCTGCTGACGCTGGGGGGACCCTGCGCCCCGCTCTGGCTCACTTTGGGGGGACCCTGCGCCCGGCTCTGGCTCCCTTTCGGGGGCCCCTGCGCCCGGCTCTGGCTTCCTTTCGGAGGCCCCTGCGCCCGGCTCTGGCTCCCTTTCGGGGGCCCCTGCGCCCGGCTCTGGCTCCCTTTGGGGGGACCCCAAGGCCGCACTCTGCTGCCGACTGGGAGATCCCGGGCATGTCTCCGGCTGACGTTGGGGGGATCTCAGGCCAGCTTGCTGCACACTCCTAGGTGACCCGGGCTCTCTCGTTTCTTCTGGGTTCGACTCAAACTCCACAAGGGCCCGTCTCGCCCGCGAAACTGTGGTGGGGCTCTCGGGGGATTCAGGTTCTAGGCCTTCCAGCCGCCGGCTGCGCCTTAGCGGCGTATCCATGGCCCAGCCAGAAAGTTTCCAAATTCGAGCCCACGTGCAGAGTCTTCCACCGCCTCTTGGGTAACCGGCGCCTTCCTATGACGTCAGGAGCAGCCACATCTGTGCCGGGCAGGAGGGGCTGTTGCCGAGGACGCCATGTTGGTGAGGGGCAGAGGCGGGGTTGTCCGCCTGCGGGGGCTGGGCTGAGTACACGCATGCGCAACGCGCCTGGGCGACGTTACTTGTGATTGACTGGGCAGTCCTTTTCCCGGATTTAACTCTTGTCGGTCTTGTAAACACAGTTTCCTGGGAAAGGAGAGCATGCGGGCGGAGAAGGGAAGGAGGGTCATTTCCAGGGAAGAGGGGAGTTGGGAAAAGGTCCAAGGAATTCGTAGGCGAGGCGGGATGGAAACTTCGTCTCTGAGTCACTCCCGTGCCTGCTCTCCTTCGGCCTCAGTTTCCTCATTTGTAGTATGAATGATTTTGCACTAGCTTAGCGCGTCTAAATGATCCTCTAGGAGTACTCCTCGCTGCTTGAGTGAATGCTACCTGGGGATCCCAGAGGTGGGAAATATGTCTTTTCTGTGTTAAATGTTCACACTCTTGCCTTCTCCTGCCCCGTGCTTCAGTATACGATCTGTGGCTCTCCCTTTCCACGTTGTCAACATGTATGGGTGAAGTCGAGGTACCAGTAAGACACACCACCTTTGTCTTGTGGCACACCTGGGCCCTCCCTAGCTGCATACCTTCCCGCATCCCTCTTCTGTTTCCCACTTCTAGAAACAAGTTGGGTCATCTCTGATCTTCCTTTTGGCCAAAACAGTGGCTTTTGCCCCTGTGTGTGAACCTGCCTCCCGGCCCTTTCCTTGGTATTCACCTGTAAATGTACTTTGCTCACTAATGCTTTGGGGCTTCATCAGTGGGCAGGCCTTCCTGGTCTCCCAGTGTCTAGAGAAGATTATTTCCAGGGCCCCTGTGCCTGAGACCCAGGAGACGGGGGCTGGCTGTGATTTACTCACAGCATGCTTCTTTCTTAGGAACATCTTGGAAGTGGTCCAGTTGCATCCCAGTGTTATTCTTGGAACTGCCTGGAGTTGGTCCTCAGCGATCCCAGGGCTCCTGTCCAGCATTCCAGTGGCTTCCTTTAGAAACCATTATTTTTTCAGCTGGAGGCCTGTGAGAGGGCCTGGAAAGTTGTCCAAGGATACTCAGGGGTTAGAGTGCCCTTGTGTTCCTGAGCCAAGGAGAGCTCTGCAGGTGATAACGAACCCACAAAAGAGGTTCTCTGTTGCCTGCTACACAGAAAGCCAATTACTGAGACTGTGAGGATTGTCTAGGAGGAAAGGATTTGTTGCAGAGTGTGCGTCAACCAGGAGGTGAGAGGAATGGACTGCTTCAAACCTGCCTCCCCGAGCAGTGGGGTCAGGGGTTTTTCTGGATGTGAAATGAATAATGCATGAGGGGAGTGAGCATCATTACATGTTTGGTGTGGAGCGTAGGGCACGCAAGTGCAGTGAAAAATCATGCTAGTACATGCATCCCATGATCAAAACATGGTGGACAAGTCCCTTAATAGTAGTATAATGAGCTAGGGGTTAATATTGGTCATTCTTCTAGTCGTGTGCGCAGGTGAGATGCAGGTAGTAGGCTGCCAGCGGGTCCTTGGGTTCAATCTGTGGTGGAGTGTCACTTGTCTTTTCTGGACCGACAAGTGGCATAAGGGTTTGTAGTTACCTTATGGCTACAAGGAGGTTCCGTCTTTTCCGGGAAAGAAACTCAAAAGGGAATGCATCAGTTTAACAGAAAGTTACAAAGTTCTTTCTGTTCAGTAAATCTTACCAAGTCTGTTAAGCTCTCTCTCTATTTTCTGCCTACTTTGAAACTTCAGTTGCTAAGTTACTGGCATTGAGATAAAACTTGCTCTGGTACCACTAATTTAAGATTACTTAGAGTAGCCAGTTCTAGCTATAATGTGAGCATTGAAAACTCATTCAAAACATAAGAGAACTGTAAAAAAACTATGAAAAAGCTATAAAGAAGTTTTCTTGCTTATGAAGCCAGTTACCCAGGGAAGCTTCCAGCTCCCAACTCTCAGTGAGCGAGCTCCATTCAGTTCCTTAAATTTCCTGCCCCTGCCTGGAGACCCGGATAGTGTGACACTTGGAACCACACTGGCTGTGGTTACCAAGGTGACTAGAGGAGACTGTAGGTTCCCTCTGCCAGTGCTCCAGGCCCCCTTGCTGTTCCTGTCCCCAGGCTCTTGTTCCCAGCTGGAAGACTCACTTTCAAGTGCCACTTGGATCATGTTCCAGCCCTGCTTAAAATATTTCAGAGAGTGATCTCAGGTTCCCTCCAGAAAGAGGCAGATAGTTTTCAGATGGAGACATTTGGGTGGCCCTCAGGCATGTTCCTGGTCCTGAGTCCACTACTTTCATGTGTGGAGGTGCTTAATCAACCTCAGCAACAGGGGAGGTCTGGGCCAGAACACCCCTACTCCCATCTGAGTCAGTTTGTCATTGTCATTACACATGGTGTGCAGGGACCCAGAGGAGACTCCTGGGGTTTTCAGAGGATGCTGGTGTGGCAGTTGCTGCTGGGTCCCTGTTCCCTCACATTCCTTTGCTTGCTGCTGCAAACATCCCAGCTTCCATGCCTCCAGGTGGGAGGATGTTGGGGGGGTGTCTCTGCAGCCCCCCAGAGACTCCCAGCAGGATTGAGCCCCAGTTGGCCACCAAGGGAACCTGGTCATTCATGCACCCTTCCTGTCTCAGTTTCCCATGCCCTTGCAGGTGCTTATTGGGGTCAACTTCTGAACAGACTGCTTGCACTAAACCACTTCGGGACAAGCGTCTACTATGGTTGATAGCCACAGATGAACGCACATCTACTTTAGCCGACAGCCGTGATATGAAGGCGCACAGCCAAGCATCGACTTTAGCTGACAGCCATGATATGACTTTTCTAATTTTTCATTTATCAAAATAAAATTGTGAACATTTAAAAATAACGTAATGAAAACATATATGAATATATTACCTATTCTGATTTACATACAAGTAAAGCTGCCTGTAAAAGTGAAACAAGCTTTCAGTGCTTTAAAGCTTTTCTTATCACACAAGAGCAAAACGGATCCGTCAATGCACAGCACAAGCTATCGTGCGGACTGTGAGCGCCGGCTGTGGGCAAGGTTCCTCGGCTGGTGAGCGCTGTACCGAAGTGGTTAAATCTTTATCTCAGAGTTGGCTTCTAGAGGAACCCAGCCTAAAAAGCTAGGGCAAGCAATTATTGGGCCAAGCATTCTCTCAAGCACTCAGACTGTACAGACCTATTTATTCCTCACAACAACCCCTCGAGGCGGGTGCTGTTATTATTATTCCCATGTTACCGATGAAGAAACTGAGGCACAGAGAGGCTGGACCACTTGTAAAGGTTGCACAGCAAATAACCAGTGGAGGTGTCTGATTCTGGAGCTGCAACTTTCAGTAGCAAATCTCTCTGTTGCCCAGGTAAGGACACCAAGGCACAGAAAGGCCGAGGTGCCTGCCCAGAGTCAACAACACACTGAGGAGCTGGGACTATGGTTCCAGAGCCAGCATGCTGAGCTGCCCCTCACGGTGGCCTTGCGTGCCTGTTCCTGGGGCTGACTCTGGTCTGTGCACCGTGAGGTCTGGGTGTGCATGGCCCACCCTGTCGTGCAGAGTGTGCTGAGTCGGCAATGCCAGCTTACTTATGTAACCTGAGATATGTTGACTAACGGAAACCAAGCACCCACAGATGGACGGAAGATATGGACCCACTGTTTTTCTCTGAGCCATTGATCCTCCGCCAGCCAAGGGGCGCTGCAGTGAGAGGGTTCAAGAGTCCCAGATGCCAGGGGTCTGTGTCCCCATGGCTCAACAGCAAGATCAGAGAAGGGCAAGGTCACCGGCAGCACTAACTGAGCATTTACTACGTGCCAGGCGTCTCCTGGGTGCTCATCTAATCCCCTGGAGGGTGATTTTCGGCAGGAGCACGGGGCTCGATAAGTGTTTGTTCAATGAGTGAATGGATTGGCATTAGGACCTCCGGGGCTGGGGTGATCATCCCTGTTTGATGGACCAGGAAGTCCCGGGGGGCTGACTCCGTGCCGGGTGACAGGAGGAGAGGGTGTGGGGTCAGGCCTGGGGCTTCATGACTCCAGACCCTTAAACTCCACATCCACAGGCCCAGGACCGGGAGGTAGGGCTGACTCAGTGCCAGCCTTAGGGGTGTCCTTGGCAGAGGGGCGTTGGCGAGTGTGACGGGAGTGAAGGCAGGACCCAGATGGGGGGGGGAGGCATCACTGGGCCTTCGCTCCTCCTCAGGGGGCCGCGGGGATGGATGCAAGCTGCTCTCTCTTCTGCTCTGAGGACGCTTAAATATTTGAAGTCCATTTTCTCATAGCTTTTTAATTGTCTTTTATCGAGGCCAAACATCTCCTGTTCCCTCAGCTGTCCGTCCCACAACATGATAAATCTTTGGGAAAGACACCCTCAGGCACCCCGGTTGACTGCCCACAGACAGTGGATTTGTGCCCCCGCCCCACTCCACGATCCCTATCAATACAGCCAGGACCCCAGTCTCCCTGGCAGCCACCCTGTGGTCATCCGACCGAAACCCTCAGTTTAGTTCCAGCTGCTGCCGGGCTTGGACATGAGCTGTTGGCTTATTTTTTAAAGATAGAGATACTTTCTTTCTCTGTCGCCCAGGCTGGAGTGCAGTGGTGAGATCACTGCGGCCTCTAGCCCCTGGGCTCAGGAGATCCTCCTGCTTCAGCCTCCCGAGTAGCTGGGACTACAGGCATGCGCCACCACGCCCGGCTAATTTTTAAAATTTTGTGGAGAGAAGGGGGGGTCTTGTTCTGTTTCCCAGGCTAGTCTTGAACTCCTGGCCACAAATGATCCTCCTTCCTTGGCCTCTCAAAGTGCTGGGATCACAGGTGTGAGCCACCGCGCCCAGTCAGTACAGGATTTTTCATCTGTCTCTGTAGCATTTCATTTTGGCCTCTCTGGAGGCCCAGCACTACTCCTCCAACACTTGCCCTGCTCCCCTCTTTTGTGTGTGTGAACAGCGGCTTCTAGGTACCTGGAATCGGACCCTACCGAGGATGTGGAACAGGACTGAGTGAT